TAAGATTTTCTAGGTAGAGGATACTGCCATCTGCAAATGAAGGCAGTTTTCTTTCTTTCTAATCTGGGGGCCTTTTATTTCTTTTTCTTGCCTTATTGCACTGGCTGGGACTTCTAGTCCAATGCTGAGTGGGAGTGGTGAGAGGGAGACCCTCCCTGCCTCGATCCCAATCTCGGGAAGGAAGCATTCAGTCTTTCAAGTGTGCCGTTAGCGGTTGTTTTTTTATTTGTTTTTTTTTGCTTTTATTTTCATTTTTATTGAGGAGGGTAAAAGTTTTTTCTGAACTTCCAAATTTTTAAAAAATTTTAGCTGTTGGTTTTTTTATAGATGCCTTTTTATCAGGTCCAGGAAACTACTTTCTGTTTTCAGTCTGCTGAAAGTTTTTGCTGTGAATAGATGTTGAATTTTGCTCAATGCCTTCTCTGTGTCTATTGAGACAACCATACCAATTTTTTTTCTAACCAGTACCCAAGTGGGAAGCAGCTTTACATCCTTGGGTTAACTTTAACTTGGTCATGCTGTACTGTCCTTTTTATTATTGTTAGGATTGATTTGCTAATGCTTCGTTAAGAATTTTTGCATCTGAGTTTAAGAGAGAGCCTTGCTGTTCGCTGGCCACCGATGGCTTGGCTGGCTCCGAGGGAGGGATGCCCCTCCCCACTGGGCAGGTGCGTGGAGTACACATGTGGCCATGTAGAACCGCCCCTTCGTCAGCTGGAGGGAGTGACGATTCCTATGAAAGGAGACTTTAAGCATCTGAAAACACATCTATGTTTGCGTGGGCTTGGAGTCCTGGGAAGGTGTCATTGCCTACCTCCTCACCCTAAATATCCACCTCGCTTTGGTGTGGCCATCCCCTCATGCACTGTGGAGGGCCCCGAACTCGGGATCTGAGATTCGGATGTGCTCTGGTTATTTCCCTCCTGCGGGGTACAGGGGGGACATGCATCCAGGGCCAAAAATATTCCTACCCTTTTTAATTCCTACCCATGAACCCCTGTGTTGAGACGCTGTCCTCCAGAAATACGTTGTCATGTGAAAACGGCTTCCTCCACAAAGATGTTTATTGCAGCGTTGTTTATGAATCGGGAGGGAACGGGGTGAAACTCAGCACGCTAAGCGAAGAGATGAGCTGAGGCAACACAGTGCGTCTGCCGGGTGGAAGGTGCGGCCGCCGGGGGGTGACTGGTGACGATTACAGCAGCCTCGCGAGCCCGGCGTGTACCCTTAGTAGGAAAACCGGTGACAGAATTTCTCTGCGTAGCTACGTTCGTATTTTAACTGTAAAAAAAGGAAGCTAATGCACACACATAAAAAAAGGGTGATTGTTTCCTGGGCGATGCCTTTCTTTTCATTTCTCTAGTTTCCAAAATTTTTTACGTGAGTCTATGTTACTTTCGTGAGTAAAAACTCATAAATCAAGAGTCAGAAGCGCATCGTTTGCCGCCCCCGAGGCCGGAGGAGCCTCGAGGCGCCTGCCCGGGGCCACGTGCGCACGTCGGCCTGGCCCCTCTCAGCGCCACCGTCCTCTGTCTTCCAGGCTTTGGGAACCATCACTGCAGTGCCTGTCACAGGTCCTCAGGTCAGCTCCTTGCAGAGGTTGGCCAGGCAAGGAGCGGCGGTGCTACCTCAGGTAAGCGGCCGTGGGCGGGCCCCGGGCCATGCGTCCGTCTGTCCGTCCCTGCACTCTGTGACCCCAGCCCCTCAGCACCGAGGTTTTAGGTGGGCACTGAGCTGGGCGGGACCCCCACGCTCTGAGTGCCACTCAGGGCCCCCCTGACCAGCTCTGCCCTTGGACAAGTCAGCTGGCCTCCAGGAGGCTCAGCTCAGGCCATAAGGTGCCTAGTGCATACCTGGTCTGGCTGCTACCTGCTGTTGTCACAGGAGGCCACATGGGGAGCGGAATAGGCAGCCTGCAGTGGGGGCCAGCCGGCAGGGACCAGCCACAGGCCCAGAGCAAGGAGAGAGGGTGCAGGGCGGGAGGCTCCTACACGTGGAGGCCAGGGCTTGGGTCCACGCATAGCTCCAGAGGGCACAGGCTAAAAGGTCCTGAGCTCTGGGGTCCCCCGAAAACTTTTCCTCTGGCTTGGAGGCCCACACATTTTGGGCCAACCGTGAGCCGCTGGCTGAGCTCCTGTTCACAGCCCGGCCCCTGCTGCTGGGCCCAGCTCACCCACACTCAGATCCGGGTTATGCGGCATCAGCCGGCAGAGCACAGAGCGGCCCAGCCTTGACGTGAGCCGGAGACAATAGCTGGGGTCCTGGTTGATGCCACTCACCCCATTGGCTGGTCCTCTTCAGAGGCGGGGAACAGCAGTCCCGGAGCTGGTGACCACCGGCAGCCACGGCTGGCCAGGGCCAAAGGGCCTTCCACACGCAGAAGCGGAGCAGGTGTCGGGCTCCGAGCCTGGCGTCGGGCAGCTTGGCCGCCTTGTGGTCGGATGTGGATGGAGACACTGCGCTGACTCCCCTGGCTCCTCCCGTCCCCTCTGCTCTGCACCGTTTTGTCTGAGTTGAGCTGGGAGGGACTCGGGCCCAGAGCGACTCTCCCTGAGCCCCCGGCCAGTCAGCCCGAGCTCAGGATGGCCTCTCGGCACTTGTCCCCTCACCTCTGACATGGGACGTCCCTGAGCCAGGTCCTGCCGGTGCCCACGCTTTGTCCTTCCCGAGTCTTGGCTCTGCTCAGGGCTGCGCCTCGGCCATGCCTGTCATCAGCCCCACCACGTGTGTCTGTCTGACCATGCAACTGTCCTTCCCTCCCCAGGTTAGGCCAAAGACTCTGATTCCAGACAGCCTCCCCCTTCCCCCAGGCCGGGATCGGCCACCCAAGCAGCCCCCGACATTCCAGAAGGCCACCGTGGTCAGTATCAAGAACCCCAGCCCAGCCCTCCCCACCGCCAACAACACCGTGAGCCATGTGCCAACGCCCGGCAGCCAGCCCCAGGCCCTCGCCGAGCCCGCCGCCATCACCTCCCCTCTGAGCAGTGCTGGGGTGGCCTATGCCATCATCTCCACCGCCCCCAGCAATGCCGCCGCCATCACCCCCAGCACCGCCGTGTCCGTGGTCAGCGACAGCCTCAAAGTGCAGCCCCTCCTCATCAGTGCCGACAACAAGGTGAGGGGCGCCCTCGGGCCGGCCCCAGGCGAGGCAGGTGTCCATGGGGGCTGGCCGGGCAGAATGGATGACCCGATGGCAGGATGGTCGGATGGCCACGTGAATGAATAGGGTGTGAATGAGCACTCGCGCGGTGGCATCCGGGCGTGTGATTGAAAGAATGCGTGGCTGAATGAACGGATGCCAGGGACACAGAACGAAGCCCCGTGGACACATCGCTGCCCTCGTTGGAAGAATCAATTAACTAATAAGACGAGCGGCCGACTGGATGCCCGGGGGAGGACCCAGCACGGTGGGGCCTCCTCTGGCGGAGGTAGGTGGCCGAGGACTTTTCAGACTCCAGGCCCCTGAATGGAAAATCGACGATTTCTTGCCAAGATTTAGAACTAAAACTCAGACCCTCCCGGTTCCCCTCTGAGCTCCTCATGGCTCCTGTTTGAGGCCCGTGAGGCTGTGATGACGGTGCCACGTCCTCCCTTCGGCCTCTTGCCCTCTGTTCCCGGTTTGGGGTCTGCCAGGCTTCCCCGCTCGTGGTCACGGCCAGTGTCCCTTCTCCTTCCCAGCTCGAACGCTGGCACTCCTCTGTCCTGCAGCCACGTGCTGCTGCATACAGTTTACCTCTGGGAGCATCATGCTCTCGAGCCCTCCCACCCGCAGATGGTCTCTCCAGGAATTCTAAAAGCCAAGTAGTCAGCAGGGGCTGCGTGTGGTCAGAGGGCGTGTTCCAGGGAGGAGGCGTGCACCCAGGACAGCACCTGGTCCGGAAGGGGAGCTTAGCAGATATTTGTCGGCTGAATGTACCCATTTCACTGCAGCCTCACCAGCACTTAGTGTTGTCATTTTAAATATTTTTTGCTCATTTAATTGGTGTAAACAGATGCTCTTTCTTGAAAGTTGAATTATTTGGTTATTATTAAGCATTGATGTTTTTCCCTGCGCTTTTCAAGAATTCTGACCCTGTGCAACTCGTTTGAGGATATTCTTTGACCTTTTTTCCTACTGAGACTCCTAATGTGTTTCTTCCCATGAATGTAAGAAAGGGCATTTTTTTTTTCATCCAGAGAATTCTGGGGTTTTAAAGGGTGCTACAAAGAAAAACAAAGAACATTCCCTTAAGACAGTAGAAAAAGAGGATGCATTTTCTCTTCATCAATAGGAGCCTCGAATCCACATGATAGGCATCGCACAACCTTAGAGGGGATAAATACAGGTTCGCATTACTCCTGGCTCGGGCCCAACCTCGGCTGGTTGTGCCTGGTGAATTCCTTTCCTTGGACTCATGAAAGATAATGATTCTTCTCTAGTTCTCTGTTCAAGAAAATAACTGAAATGGTTGAGCCAGAGATGAAGAGGTTCTGGCCCAGGCTCAGCTGCAGAAGTCGCTTTTAGACTTTTCAGCCTCCGACCCTTCGATCGAATCCAGTGAGAACCCCGATCTCTGATGAGGGTCCATGATGGTGGAAGTGGGGCCGCCCTGGGCGATGCTGAACGGGGTCTGGAGCCCACGTCCCCCTTCTCCACATCCCCTCCCCGCCCCTGGCCTTGGCAGGGTTCCTCAGAGTGAGAAAAACATCATTGTTCCTACCTGCCCCCCAGGCCAGGTTTGAGAGCCTCAGACACAGTGCCAACAGGCCCGGTGGGGAGTGGGCAGCCGGCAGCGCAGCCAGCGAGGGCCGGAGGGAGGTGTTTGGAGGAAGCGGAGGTTCAGAGAGGCCGAGGGACCTCCCTGAGGCCACACGAGTGGGAAGCGGCAGCACGGGGTGAACCAGGCTCTCCTGGTCCCTAGACCAGGCCCGTTTCTCGCGTTCGGTGTGAGCCTCCCTGCTCCTCTGCGATCCTGCCATTATGGCCCCATGCCCTTTGCGCTGGACACTCCCGGTCCTGGGCTCTGGACCCTGCCCCCGCTGGGCGCTCTCAGCTTCCCCCTCCCTCCTCTCTCTCTCCCCACCCCGTCCCCCCTCACCCCTCCACGCCATCTTCCAGGTCATCATCATCCAGCCTCAGGTGCAGGCGCAGCCCGAGGGCACAGCGGAGGCACGGCCACCCACGGAGGTGCCATCTCAGGGAGCGCAGGCCACCAAAAAGCGGAAGGAGGATCGGCCCCCGAGCCAGGAGAACCCCGAGGTAGGACGGCTGCAGGGCCTGGCGCTGTGCAGGGGGCAGGGACGCGGGACACACCCAGGGCACAGCGGCCCTGTGCGGCAGGAGCTCCGGGCCAGACCTGCCCAGCAAGCCGAGGTCTCGGCTGTTTCGTCTCACTGTTTCGCTGGCCGAAGGGCAGTGGGGGGCAACGGCCAGACCAGAACCAGATTGCCTGGATCTGTGTCCCAGCGCGGCCAGTTTCCGGAGGTGTGACGGGCGCAGGGGCAGGTCCCGTCTGATGCCTGTCTCTGGAATGGGAGATGCACGTCCCCCCTCCTGGCAGCGTTGTTGGGAGGGTGGCGTGGCAGTGCCAGGGCTCTGTGGGTGGCTCTGCACCACACCCAAGCCCGCCGTGGCCCACCTGTCCCTGCCCGTCCATGCCTGTGCTCAGGTCTGTCAGGGAGCAGCTGCTCTTGGCAGCATGTGGCCCTAAAACAACCCTGGCTTTTCTGTCAGCCCTACCTATGGTACCTGCTGTGGGGCAGAACAGGACCCTGAATGGCTTAGAAGTCAGCTGCTGCCCAAGGCTGGCACAGGAGATGCAGATGTCTCCTGAAAGTGCCCGTAGAACTTTTGGAAATTGCACACAGCACCCGCTCCCTAACCCCACGTGCAGGATGAAGGACGATGCGCGGCTAACGCGGCCACGCGCCCTGATGGAGGTGTGAGAGGCAGCAGCTAGTTCAAGGCCATTCTTTGTTGAGCAAGAGAGACGGTCGTTCAGTTCCAGGGCAGCATTGAGTGCCCACTGTGTGTGCGGTGAGGTCTGGGGCCGGCTCCAGCCCGGGGCTCCCACAAGCACCCCGCTGTCTGCCGGGGCGTCCTGCCACACCCTCAACATTTGGGAAGCCTTTTTGGGTGGATTCTCTTTGTTCTCTCGAGTATATCTTGGTCAATTATACAATTAGTGCATTTACACAATTAGTGTAATTACATCTAACTCCATAATTAGCATAAATATGCGCAATGGCTTACATAGAACTTGCAATTACAATACATCTTGGTGTGAAAATCCTTTAATTAAAGTTGCTGTTTAAAGGGGGCTGGGAGCCGTTGTGCTCCAGACGTGGGACTTTGTGGTAGGCTTTGAACCTTTTGGTGACAGCCCAGATTAGGAGAGTTTGAGGCAGAGCAGCAGCCATCTCAGAAACTTTGTCAGATGAGCCAGTGGGGAGCCTGGGTCATTGGCTGGGGGCGCAGATATTTTTCTGAAGAAACACTGATTGGTGCCCGTAAGGCTCATCTGTAATGGCGGCTTTGGGGCAGTGGCTGTCAAGCTCCCAGTGCCATGAGCCCTGCACGCCTGCTCTTGGAGCTCCATGCAGCCTGTGGGGGCCAGCCTGCTGGTTGCCCTGTGGGCTAAGACAGCACAGGACGTGCAGCAGAAGGGGACACTGGGTTTGCCAGGCCCAAGAAGGGCTCTCGGGTCTCGTAGGAAGGAGGATGTCAGTAGATGTCGGGTCCCGAGAACTGTGAGTGAGGAATCGCAGATGACGTTAATGTAGAAGGTTTACTGCTGGCCAGGTGCAACTCAGCGTGGGTCAGATTCAGCCCTGACTGTGCGCTGGGGACAGTTGTTAACTTCTTGTACAGGTGGGGAAACCGAGGCCCGGAAGTAGTGACGGTCAGAGCTGGGAGCCACAGCCAGACAGTCTGGCCTCGGCACCTGCTCCAGGCACCCTAAGTCCTGTGCCTCGCTGGCCTCCTCCACCTTGGTCACTTTAAGGGGGAGCCAGAGCTGGACTGCTCAGGACAGGCGTGGAGAGGC